ATAAAAACTATTATAAAAAATGATTAATTTTTAAATGATAGGTTAATCAAACATTTTGAAGCACCATATATTAAAATAAATTTATATAGATTATATATTATAATATATGTTAATAGAGTTTAATTTACCAAATTAATTGGGTTAGACTCAATTTTGAAATTTTTACATATATTATGAAAAAGTAATATTTTCTTATTTAAAGGTGAAAACAAAAATCTAAATAATTTAACAATATAGTCAAAGATAAAACCGTATTTTAAAAAAAATAAGTACTTTTTTTTTTATCAAAATCACACAATTTATATATTTGAATATGAATAATTTATAATAAAATCTATTAATCAATTTTTTTTTCATTTTCATATATAAAAAGCATTTTCACCACAAATTACATAAGTATGTGAATTTCAATGTACTGGTTTATCCTCACAAATATTTTCTAATACGCTTAAATGTTTAACATAAGCTCAAATTTACTATCAATTAAACCATTGTCATGGATAATTTCAATTAAAACACTTGAATTTCTATCTTATTATTTCAAATATTAATTCAAACAAATTTATGTTTGCAACATCTTATCTCATTTGGTTATGAGTGATACTAAATAGACCTATATGTTAATGTTTAGTTATAAATTACATTATTTTGATTATTTATCATGGGTTCATTATGATGTTAATAAGGATGAGTTGCATATATATATATATATATATATATATATATATATATATATATATATATATATATATATATATATATATATATATATATTAAATAATATGTGTGTCAGGTATAATTTAACAAATCACATATAAGAGATGAGAGATTCAAGAAGCACATCCTAACACATGATAATGCACTCACTTTATAATAAGTCCTATCAATGTTAGATGAAATGCAGATTATAGAAAGCCTAAAAACAAGTAGAGGAGAATCGATTGACATAATAACAATTACAAAAAAACAATAAAAACCTTGACAACATTTTGAAGATTATTTAAAAGCACAAGATAAAACACAAGTCATATTACGTTTAATCACAGATTTTTACCTAAAAATTCAGGTTAGTGAAAACTAATAAGAAAGTGTCAAAATTCATATGGGTGCCTAAAATATCATTGTTGCATATTTGCTTAACAGCCGCAAAATAATACTAATTATATTTGAATAATAGCTGCTCATGGCACATGATGAATAAAGATGTAAGTTTCTAAACCTAAAAAGGAAAATAAAAAATAAAAAATGGAACAATAGCATTTGGTGAAAACCAAATAGGAAGGATAATAAGAATTGAAAGGATAATTATGGCATATTTTTATCTTTTATTAGCAATGTTCATTTAAATATAATCTACTTAATATAAGTCAATTATATGATAATGAATATAATGTTTTTAATAAAGACCAATATATAGTAAAGGATTATCATTATATTTTCTAATAAGAGACTATATAACTTGTATAAGATTAAATTTGTCAAATTGTAAGCTCAAAAGGTATATTATGTGTAGTTCCAATCAAAGAAGATCTTTCAGTATGGTATAAAAGGATGGCCATGCTAGGGTTAATATTTGCATTGCAAAAGCTCAACCTCATAAAAGGATTGTCTGTCATGTTATTTAAAGACAATATTCTTTGTGAAACATTATGAAAGACAAACAAATTAAAAAAAAAGTAATTTTAAAGTAAAAATATCATTTTAACTTCAAGGCCTCTTGAGTTATTAAACATTTACTTGTTTGATCCAATAAGAATTACATTTGCTAGTGAAAAAAGATATGATCCAGTTACAGCAGATAACTTTATATAATATGAGTAAAATTCTTAACCCACAACATAAGGGCGAATTTTTTTAGTCCTTTATAAATTTTGCAAGATTTAAAATATAAGTTATCTCAACCAAAAGTTATTGTGATATAGAATTTGAAAATGGAAAATTTTAACATTTTTGTGCTTGAAAATGAAATAAATCATAATTTTTCAACTCCAAAAAAATCACAACAAAATGATGTAATGGAGAAAAAAAAAACCATAATTAATGTTAACTCCACAACTAAGGACTTCAGGACTGAGACAATAAATGCAATTTCTTACATACAAAATATAATTTATATAAAAATGATCAATAATAAGACATCTTATGAGTTGTGAATGAATAAAAAGTCATTTTGGGTTGAAAGTGGTGTCAATCCCTTATGTGAGTTAGACTCATGTTTCATTGATGTTGTCTCTCTTTAATAAATCCCCTTTCGAAAGATCCATCAGTGGTATCAAAGTCATTTATGTGGTGACTAACCATTTAAGTGTGTGGTCTTGTATCGAAAGTCTTCCTGACAGTGGGTCAGACAAGTGTGTTTTATTATATGAATAACAATACAAGTAAGGGGCACTATTGAACTTGAGGGGATGTACCAATGTGAAAGGACTCACATTTAAGGGAGAGATTGTTGAAAAATCCAAGTATGAGTCTAAGTCTCACATTGGGTAAGGATGAAAAGGTTGAATAACATATAATAAAGAAAGACCCATAACTCAATACCTTAAGGTTTTTTGTTAAAGGCGGTGTCAATTTCTTATGTGAGTTAAATTCATGTCTCATTGGTGTTGTCTCTCTCCAGTGAATCCCCCTCAAAAGACTCGTCAGTTAAAACATTGAGTTATAGATTTTTCTTTCTTATACATTGTTCAACTTTCTCGTTTTTACTCAATATGAGACTTAGACTCATACTTCAAATTTTCAACACACATTTATCTCTTTTCATATGTAAATGCCTTATCTCAAGTACCAAGGAAAACCTTGGAAAATTTGACAATGAAGGTGATGAGGGAGGTTTAAAACTTATGAAGTTTATAACTTTAGAACATCTTTTCCTGAATATCTTGTTCATGTGAAAAAATTATAAGCTATGTGAAAAAAAAAACCAACGAAAGATCAAGTATAAGTGTTTGAAGAAGTATCAAATGGTCTAATAAGAAAAGAGAACTTATTGGAAGAAACCACCTTTGAATAGAAGATTACCTAACTTATGCCATAACAAAAGACCTAATAGAATGAGTTTGAACTACATCATCTTTTCAACATGGACAATTTACATTCATTTTAAGCATAAAGACGACCAACTAAACATTAGACAATGAATACTAGATCAAGGGTATACAAAAAGAGTTGAATTAGTTCCACAAAAATGTTATGTACAAGCTGGTAGAACTTCCAGAATGCAAGAACGTTATTGGAGTCAAAGTGGGTTTACAAAACCAAACTTGACAAACAAGGTAATGCAGTGAGAAATTAAGCTAGATTAGCGATCAAATGTTTCTTACAACAAAGAAGATATTGATTATGTAGAAACTTATACACCAATTATAAGATATGAAACTATATGTATATATTTTACTTTCAATTACTACCTTAAATAAAATGAAGTTGTGTCAAATAGATGTGAAAAATACATTCCTCAATGATAACATTAAGAAAGAAATATATGTAGAACAACAATTGGATTTAAGAGTACTATATTCCTCGTTATCATGTTTTCAAGAGCTTAGTATGAAAAACTAAGCATGTTTTTAATAAAACATAGTTTTTCAAGAAAAAAATAGATATTATGTTATTTTGCAAAGAATAACAATCATATTAATTTAAATAGATAATATATTTTTAATTCTATCTGATAAATCTTTTTATAGTGATTTTTCTAAATTAATGCAAAATGTTTTAAAGATGTATAAATAAAGAGTTAAGGTTCTTTATAGTTAAACTTATATTTTTACTTTTATTAGCCAATCTATATATCTACGGTTGAATGTTATTATATGATGATAAATAAATTTAATTTTAAAAAACTAAAATTTTATTATATGATAGAAAATAAATTAAATAAAAAAATATTTTTAAAAATTTAGAAACTAAAAATATTTATTTAATAAAATATCATTAAGATCTCCAAAACATTATGATTAACATATTTCAATCTCATTTAATTGATAAAATGAAGATAAAAATAATGAATAATATTTATTTATATAACATGATGTTAATTATTTGTAATATTTTCTGTTATACTTGAAACTTTTCCTTTTTCATTCATTTCAAATTATTATTATTTTATCTTTATTTATTTGTTCATTTAATATTTTTAACGAAATAATCTTTCTTATCTATATTTTATCATTATCTATAAATTTAAATTTAACATTTTCAAACAATAACTTTCAATAATTAAACATAGTTTATATCATTATTTATGATAATTTGTTGACGCTCATTATTAATATATTATCAACATATACACCAAATTATAAAAATGATAATGATTTTTTATTAAAATATAATTTTTATACTAACGGTACATAAAATTTAAATTCAAAATTAATATTTTAAGCTAAAAATATTTCTGTTACAAATCGTAACCATGATATAATTTCCATATCAATAAATGTTTGTTTTAATTTTAAAATAATAATATAAATATAAACATTTAGTATAATGCATCGATCTATTGTAAGTTGTAATTATAATAAAGTTCCCAAATTATAAATATTATTTTAAATTTATTATTTTTAGTAATATAAAAATAAACATTTAGTATAATGCATTGACCTAAAGAGTAACTATTTCCCTTATTAATGTGAAGATTTGTATTTAAAATAAGAAATTAAAAAATCTGGGGGGTTACGTTTAATGTGTAATCCCCACAAAGGCGTGTACTTAAATGAATGCCCTCCTCGTCGTCCCATTGATACGAGACGAAGGGGAGAAGGGTCTGTGTTGAAATGGGGAAAAACCACACCAAACGGCTATAATTGATGTTTCAATAGATACTCTCAAAGATCGTGGCTTTAGTTTGCTGGGTTTTTCCCTTTGCTGCAAAATTTTGGTCTCGAGGGTTTGATTTAGTTTCGATACTTTCTAGTGCTAAAGCAGTGTTACTCATACCATAAACCCAACAAACCAAAACAAAAACTGTATTTTGCTTTTGCGGCTTTTTCTCCAAAACCATGTCTGAGGGCTATTATAGTTCCAAGAAGACTGATGATATCTGCGATGATGTTTGTGGACAGGTATTTTTATTTTTATTTTCCCTCTTTTACCCGATTGGGTTTTTGTTTAATTCTACTCTACTCTACCCTTTTTCCTGTTTGCTGTTTTTGGTTGGTTTTTGTGGTATGGTTTTAATGGTTTTCCTCTGTTGTGTTTTGCTGGCAATGCAAAGTGGGAACTTTGAGTTTAACGAGTTCTCTCTCACTCTCTCTGTCGTTTGTTTTGACTTTTCGGTTCTTGTTAAGTTTAATTTTTGTTTTACACCATTCAATTTAATTGTTTCATCGTTTTAAATTGCTTCTCTGGGAGATTTTGGTAATGGGGCTTTTGGATGAAAGGAAATAATTCCCCCCGTTAAATTTTTAGCAGTGTGTTTGTACAGCGATTGGAGATGTCTCATATGATTAATTTATGTTTTTTTTTTCTTCCGAATTTACGGTTTATGGGTTTATGCTTTGATTGATATGACATTGTTTGCCCTTTTGAATTGGTAACTTTTCCTTTTTCTTATGTTTTTGAACCTCTGAAGAGATTTCAGAATTCCATTTTTAATGTGTGGTTCTTTAACCCTTTGTTTCTAAACCTTAAGCGTTGTATCTATGCTATTATCTATTGCTTTGTTAAATGATAGTAGTTTTAAATTTGATGTTTATCTAACGTTGAGAATCCTCTTTCTATTTGAAAAGTTGATTGGAAAACATCACAAAAATCACCTATAGAACTATATCTAGGTTCCTTCCTTGAGAAAGTTGTGACAGAGTGTGTTTCCCTTTTTCTTGTTTATCTGATTTTCATCTTCATATGTCAGTGTGTTATACTTTCATGTTATTGTGTGCAGTCAAACATATGACATAAGGTTTATGATCCATAAGTTATCCATTTAACTTAGAGATTTTTTTTTTGTTTACTATGCAGCATGGAACTCCTGCAGGACTGAGCATGTCAAGACTAAAGTGTATTCTAAAGGGATTGGACTTCAAAACTTACATATTTCTGTTTGTGATTGTTCCGGTTGGCATCTTCGGTCTCTATTTGCACGGGCAGAAAATCTCCTACTTTTTAAGGCCACTTTGGGAGGCCCCTCCAAAACCATTCAATGAAATCCCTCACTATTATCACGAAAACGTGTCAATGGAATCTCTATGCAAGCTTCATGGGTGGGGGATTCGTGAGTCACCGAGAAGAGTTTTCGATGCTGTTTTGTTCAGCAATGAAGTTGACATCCTCACTATCCGTTGGAAAGAGATACAGCCTTACGTGACGCAGTATGTACTCCTTGAATCAAACTCAACTTTTACTGGAATTGTCAAACCCTTGCTTTTTGCAAGAAATAGGGACAAGTTCAAGTTTGTTGAGTCACGGCTTACATATGGGGTGATTGGGGGGAGATTCAAGAGAAAAGAAAATCCATTTATTGAAGAGGCTTATCAAAGAGTTGCCCTGGATCAGCTTCTAAAGATAGCAGGCATAGAAGATGATGATCTCTTGATAATGTCTGATGTTGATGAGATTCCAAGCGCTCACACAATCAATCTCTTGCGGTGGTGTGATGAAATTCCTCCGATTCTTCATCTTCAGCTGAGGAACTACTTGTACTCATTCGAATTCTTTTTGGACAACAAAAGTTGGAGAGCTTCAATCCACAAGTACCAGACTGGAAAGACTCGGTATGCACACTACAGGCAGTCTGATTTGTTGCTGTCAGATTCTGGCTGGCATTGTAGCTTCTGTTTCCGCCATATGAGCGAATTCATATTCAAGATGAAAGCTTATAGCCATTTCGATCGTGTGCGGTTCCCTCACTACTTGAACCCTGTCAGGATTCAGGATGTGATATGCCAAGGGTCTGACTTATTTGACATGCTTCCTGAAGAGTATACATTTAAGGAGATCATTGGGAAATTGGGACCTATTCCTCATTCTTACTCAGCAGTACATCTTCCTGCATATTTGTTGAATAATGCAGAAAGATTCAGGTTTTTGTTGCCTGGTAACTGCAGAAGAGAAAGTGGTTGACTTTGGACATATGTGGTTACTTTAATTTTGAAAATTAGAAGTGTGTTATTACACCAAAGAGGAGCTCTGTTGAATGATTTATAACTATGAATGTAGGTCATTCTTTAGAGGGATTTCCAAATTTTGTATATTCAATTTCAAATAGGGGAATGTGAGATTCTCAAGTGAGGAATGTGTGAGGGAAAAATAGTTCTTTATGAATGCATTTGGGCAAGCTTTTGTTCATTCACTTTGGGTATATGCATAAACCCCCAACTTGCTAAGTAGTAGCATGACCTTTCCCAAGCCTTTCCAGTGGGAATTTTGGTTTCTTGGACCAAGTTATACTTATAGATTATGGTGACTAACCCTACTGTAGTTGTTTTTTAATTCACCTTTATTTCATTGGTTATCGATCCCCATTCTGAATTTCTGAACAGTGAGTTTAAATTCCTTATCTCAGATTCTATGTAATTTTTTTGGTGTATTTTCATTTCTTTTCCTCTGTTTATGTAAGCCACCTATAATATCAAGTGATGCAGTACTCACTTCAAAAATGCAATTTTTATGTTGTAAAATAAAATTCTCCATGATTAGTTGCGCGGATCCATGAATTATATTTGATCAAAATTTCCCTTTTTATGTTTAATATGATTCTATGAAGTTATTCAACAAGGCTTGAGCATTCAAATATCAGTTTGAACCATTAGAGCAACCTTTGTCAACCTAGAGTTTTCAAAGGGTTTTATCTTTAGAACAAACAATTTTTTTTGGTTTTTTAAAATAATATTTCTGGGCAACTATTTTCCGTGAATTTATTTATTTTGTGCTGCTTATAAAAGTATTAAATAAGAAAGTGGGAATATAATTTTTTCAAGTTTCAAAAAATATTTTATCAAAGGAAAATATAACTAGCTAAACAAATTTTAGTTCATGGTAGAAACCATAATTCACAATATTTATGATTTTTTCACTTGATTTTGTTTTTTCTTATATCAAATATCCCCACTAATATGGACAACTCTCCCTAGATAAATGCAAATTAATCTAATAATAGCTAAGATATTTGTATGATATCATATTTATTAGATATATTTGTGTACCTACGCCAACAGATATCCTAATAATTAGGATATTCTCGTATATTTTATTATTTGTTGAGTAATTAATAAGCTCAAAAATTTTGTAATAATATTTTTATTTTTATATTCACATTGTAAATCACGTTCTAATATTATCGTATAATTTGATTATCGAAAAATCCGTTCCTCGTTATTATTTATAATTTAGTCAATGTTTTTGGGAACTTTTATCTCTGCTTGACGAGAGAGACGTCAATTTCCGGTTAGAATAGTTTTTAATCCTTATAAAATGAATAAACTTTGATTTCTATAAACTTTTCTTCTACGTTTTTGTCATTCTAAATTGAAAACAATTATTTTTAATTTTTAATATTATAGGACACTCGTTAATTTTTTTTTATTTTTTAAATCAGAATAAAGTGAGCCTTTAAAAGTTATGTCTAGTAGTTTTGTGATATAATTAATATTAATATATGATATTTATAAAGAAAAAAATATTATCAAAATAAATATTATTTACCTATTTTAAAATAAACATTAGAGGTAAAATAGTGATTTCAAATTTTGAAAAAGTAAAAATTAAAGAAAAATACTTGAACAAATTAAAACAAAAAGATAACATACTTTATAAGGAGTGAAAACAATGATTTTGAATTTTACATAAATTAAAATATATTTAAGTTGTATTTACAACTTATCATGCATGTTCTATAGTGTTTAAAGTGATCGATTGACAAAGTGGTTTCCGAAATTTGGTACTTGACTTTTGTTAACATAAAATATGGATGTGAAGCGTTAAACTGAATTGTGTGTTGTTTAGTTTGACAATTTCAATTGCACGATCTTAATTGGCGGACTTCGAGTCATGTCTTGGGTAAACTTTTTTTGTTCTTGTTTTTGTCTCTTATGTGTTGACCCTGTGTTGACTTGGTTAATTGAAGTGGCAGTGGTTGGGTTTTTGTACTAGGAATTTGACATGTTCTTTTGGAAGACTTTGTGCAATGAAAAGAAGGAATTATTGCCTTCAGAAACCTTTTTCTTAGAGAAATAATGGTAGTCCCCACCACACATTCTGGCTTCACATTATTATCAATCTTATATTTCCATCCTTCTTCAAATTCATTTTCCTCACAAAAAATTCGACCTCTTATTTAAATTTTCTTGCCTTATGCGCTGCATTATTATGCACCAGTTAATAATATTACTGTACTTATTATTTTAAAACTACATAATTATAAAATATTTTTATTATAAATACTGCTCCAGAAATAATACTAACAAACAAAATTGCTTCCAGTGAACATCATCCTCAGGTATTTATGTCCCAATTTTTACGTATGCATAGAGAAAAATATGATTAATGTAAAAACAAATACAAAAAAAATGAAACATTTCAAAATAATTTGCTTCTTCTTGCGAGTATCTTTTACCTTCAAACGACAACATTTTTCTTATTAAAATATTATAAAATAATTAAAATGTTAGTTAGCTTGATATTAAATTTTTAATATTTTAAAATATATTAAAATTTTAAAATATCTACTTTTTGAAATTACACTTCATAGACACGGATTTAGGAGACCCAGCGGGCCACATCCCCACCACCCATTTATATATATAAAATAGTTTTTTAATAAATTAAATACAAATTATTTTATAAATATAATTTAAATTAATTTATTATTATTATTTTCTTTATTTTTTATTTATAATAAATATCATATTTATTATTTTACACAATCTCATAATTATTTTATGCCTTCTTTTATCTTTATATTTTTTTTCTTCTTTTACCTACTTATTTTTCAACTTTATTTTTTTTATCAGATTCTCACTTTATATTTTCATATTTTTTTATTTTTTAATTTTTATTCACTTTTATATTATTCTCTTCTATAATTTCTTTTTACACCATAAAATTTATAAGTTTTTCTCTTTATATTTTAAGTTTTTTTTATTTTTTTTTATGTTTCATCTTTATAATATAAAAATGATAATTTTTTGTTTTTTTATTTTTTATTTTTTTCTATTAAAAACATAAGATACAAATTTAAAAATAGGATAGATATTTCACAATAATTTTCTTGAAGTAAAAAAATAATAAATTTTTTTATTATTTTTATTTATTATTACAACAATTTAACAGTATAATATAAAATATAGAATGATATGATCTTTTATTTTTTATTAATTAGTTAATTATTTTAATATTCTATGATATTTTATTTTAATATTAAAATATGAAAAAAAATCAGATTGAATTTTAAAAATATCTCAAAAAAATTATAAATTATTTTTAAAAAATGATAAATAAAGAAATAAATTTTAATTTGTAACATTTAAATTAATTAATAATATTAAATATTTTATATAATATATTTATTTTTATATAATAATTAATTTTTACATGTCGTTAATAATCCTATTCCTTTGAATATAAGTTATGTTTGAAAAATAGTTGAATTTCGACGCTATTGTTGGATTGTAAATAGTTCCGTGTTTTTGTTGTTTACGAAGAAGTGAAAAAACAAAGAGTGTTTTGTCCAATTTTGTTTAGAAATAATAAGATTTGTATATAATTAATTTCTTTATTCTTATATTATTAATCTTAATATATTCTTTATTTTTAACTAATCTTAATATATATTTGTTGTTGTATATGAATGGAAATCATATATTTTAAATTTAATTTATGTATTATGACTAATTTAGTTTTTTTTATTTGAGATTCTATATGTGATTAATAATTAGTTTTTTATTGAATTTTGAATTTTTTAGTTGAACAATTTTGTAAAACTATATTTCTTTCAAAACTTAATTAATTTGATGAGGTTAATTCTAGCATTAACATTTGATAAATTTTGGTATAAAATTTTATCTAATTTAATGAATAAATTGTATATTTTAACTAATTATTTATATATTGGTGTATGAATGATAAATTAAAAAATAAAAAAAAGTTTAATTACTGAATATTTTCTCAAGGTAATTGAATTTTATTCAATAAATTATTCTTAGAGAGCTCATTCTAAATTTTGTTAATTTGTTCAACAAAGACACAATTTAATGATTAAAGTATTGATTTAAGTGAAGGAAAATTTCGCTCAGAAAAATAGTACAAAATCTATTTTTGTAAAATATTGAATTATTTTGGAGACTACGTAATTGATTTATTTTGGATATTGTATAACCTTTTCATAATTCAATTGTTTTATATAAAATATTGGAAAAGTCAAAACACAACAATTAGTTTCATTCTAGCTATAAAATGTAAATTTTTCTCTAGTTTCACACATGTACTTAGGTTAACTTTTTTATTTTTCTTTATTGTTTTCATTTAATTTCTTTAATTTATATATATCCTCTTACAGTTTTTCTAAATTTTAATGTTTTCTTTCTACTTTTTCTTTATTTTTAAGTTTCAATTATGAATTTCTAAGCCTTCTAAAGTTGATTTTCTTATCAAAGCTTGTTTAATTTAGTTTATATATAATTCTTTATGATTTTAACAATTTATAATCTATTATAATCAATATAACTAAAATTATTAGGTTGAATTTTTCAATTTGTATTATAAATCAAATTTTAAGTTTATGTTATTACTTTTCTTAAAAATTGAATTGTTTATTTAGGTTAATAGATTAATCAATTTCATATAATCAATTTGATAATGAATATTTAGAGTTTTTATGGATCTATCTTGTGATTATATTTAGCTCTAAAAATAAATGATAATCAAATAAAGAAGTTGATGATTGGATAGTTTAGTTTTAGAATTTATTACACTTTTACAATTTAAATTATTATCTCTACTATTTCTTTTAAAATTCAATGCTTTATTTTCTTGATTTGTGTCAAATGCTTTCGTAATCAATTAAATTTTGTGCTTTCTAGATTCAATGCTTTTATTTACTATGCACTTTTAATACTTTGCTTAATGTATAATTAGTCTTGATTATTATTTATGTCCTTTTAGTCAATTGCATAGCATAACGTTGTTGCTTTGCTTAATGCTTAGTTTTACTATTTTTACTTAGGATCATAGGTTTACTACATTTTTTGACTGCTTTTCATACCTAAATACAAAATCCTCACTTTTCTAATTCTTAACAGGTCTATAACACATTATTAATATTCTTTGAGAATATAATTTAGGTTTTCTATTATTATATTGTTTAATCACATTTTAGAAAAAAAAGTGTTATAAACAATTTGGAAAGACTATATATATATATATATATATATATATATATATATATATATATATATATATATATATTTTAACTTAATTAATTTGATGAAGTTAATTCTCACATTAAAAGTTGATGAAAATTTCATTAGAAAAAAATTTGTTATTATTCCTTGAATGTATTCTTAATTGTTGTCAGTTTCTTCTCACAACCTCCATCTTGTGTATTTAGAGATAAATGTAAAATGTTGTTAAAATTTGATCAAATATTATATATGAGACACAATTTTTTTAATCAATAAATTATAAAAGAAAAAAAGTATTTTTGAATGTGATAAGTTGACACCTTTTTAGAAAAGGTAAAATGTTCATGCATAAAATAAGCTGTTTTGTATGTTATTATGTAGTTATGGATTGAAGGTGGATGAATTCAAGTTGAATTAGTGAGAATAACGATAATGATATTGGATAATTTATACAATTTACTCTGTTATTGCGTGAAATATTACCCAAAGGAAATATATTGCCCGCACGTCCCTATGAACTAAAGAATATCCTTTGTGACATGTGGATTTGTAGTATAAGAAATACATTATTGCATATTATATCATAGTTTAAAATATTAAATAAATATAAGGTGCCAAATTTCACAATACAAAGTTAATGATGATTGCGATGATCTCAAATATTTGGAAAAAAAAAAAAAGTGTCAAAACAAATCATTTTATAATTATTGTAAACAAAAGTGAAGAAATATGAAGCTAACACAGCTTAAGTTATTGGGTATGATTTGAGTTTATGGATATGCATCTAGCAAATAGAAACATCAGCATTGGCATTGGCAAACACAAGTGCGTATTGGAAAGTCACAAAGTTCCATAAACGTATCACATGAACAAAGATACAAAATGTTCCCCATTTTCATTTATTATCCATGTCATTTCCATACATAAAAGCATTAAGCAGGAGGTAAGGCCTTTGGATGAACCATATTATACAACAATACATCTCAGCAACCTCAACCCCAATTTGTTAGATGTGAGTCAACCCGATGTTAAACGAGCATGGCATGCTAATCTTGCTGAGAACATGGAATCAAGGTGATCTAAACTGACTTAATAGATAAAAAGCTTTCTTGTTAAGATTCAAGTTGCAACATTTTGTAACGGGTTTATTCATATTGCCATACTGTGATCTGGGATAGCCCCAATTATGTGAGCATTGTATAGTCATCATCAGTAACACTGGTTAGAGCAGAAGAAACACCCTTTAGACCTGCCTTCAATATCAACTTTTGAGGTTTCTCCAGAATCATCTCTTCTCGCCATTAAAGCACTTGTACCCGGAGATTCTGGCGGCAAAACAGCATTCTTGGATGATGCAATTCGCATTGGAAGAACTGGCTCGGCCGGTGAAATGGTAGTTAGATACCGAAGCAGCATCTGTATTATTTGACTAAAATTGGGTCGATCATTTGGGTCCTCTGTCCAACAAGAGGTCACAATCAAAGCTAAATCTTCAGGGAGGTCTTCAGCACTTGGCCTTGTATTCTGAAATAGAAAAGTAAATATTTGTATCATGAATCCTTAGTGAACTCCATGAAAAGAAGCAGCACATTCAGTGATAAACAAATGTCAAATTCCGTGTAGTGAGATAAAGCTCTTGAAAATAAGAATGTAAAAACTTGAAAATTCCAAATAGTCTAAGATGTATCACATTATTTATATACTGCAAAATGCTGATGTTTATGCAGTAGCATCAGAAACGGGTCTAGTTGATACCAAATTAGACCAATGGTGATACCTATTGTCGGCAATTTGCAAATTAAAACGAAATGTCTGCATGATTTGAAAAAAAAAAAAAAGTTTTTTCTGTTAAGTAATAATCGCATCTTAATTTCACTTGGTTTTCCATTTTCTGTTTTCAAACATTTATACATGGAATTGTCAGCACAGAATTTGACTGTCTCCTCATCCGACCACTCGCATATAAATTTGTGAAAATAAGCCTCAAAATAAAGGGTTAAAAGTGTCTCTTTGAACAAATTTCTCCATAAAGACTACTAGGGGAGAAAAATATCATTAAAAAAAAAATGAAATTTCATGCATAAACTAACTTGTATAAGCTCTCTCATATAGCTTCTCCAAAATTCTTCATTTTTTTTTCTCTTTTAACTTGTGCATAAACTAGTTTTAACTTGTTATGAAGTCAATTTCATTTTTTTAATCATATTTTTCTCCCTTAGAAACCCTTTTGGAGAAGTTCATCCAAATGGACCCAAAATCTGTTTCTAAAATGTTACCCAAAAAGGGAAAATATATTTCTACATGCATCTAGAAATTGTCTACATCCCTTCCCAAGAAAGGGTAATTTTACAGCGTTACCCTTCTACTCATGATGGGAGACTGCTTGCTAGAGGCTACAAATTATACAAATATTATGACCTTAAGCATAATTCATTACTGCATAAGCATCAGATGAAAAGAATGTTATCAACCTTAAATGCAGCTGCATATGCAGCCTGTAGATTTGACATGCCTTCAAAAGGCAACCTATTATGGATGAGCTCCCACAACACTATAGCAAAACTGTAGGCATCCACCTTGTGGTTGTAATGCTTCTTCTCCCCTTGTCTTAGAGTGACAGTGCTGTAAAGCTGCCACCAAACAAGCATGAAATTATAAATTACTAATATGGACCACCCAACTGAAAAATCAACAATGGTTTAGTTTTTGACAATTGAGAAGTACTTCTGGAGCCATCCAACGATATGTCCCTGTTTCAGCAGTCATCATCTCTGTTAAGGACTCTTCTCTGGCTAGACCAAAATCGGCAAGTTTAACAGTTTTATGATCTTCTGTCAAGATCAAGTTATCTGAAATGAAAACAGGACATTTGATCAAATACCACTTGATCATTGAACAGATAGATATTGCTTTATAGTCGATATAATTATCAACGTCATACAAATAAGAAGTTGTTTCTTCTCACAACATATGTTCATCATCCCAGTGGTCTATCCAAAAAACAATGCACCTCACAAGAGAATGAAGGGATTGCATAAATTTTTTCATCAGCTAAAAGTATCCTTTTGGTCCTTTATTTTTTACTTAAATTCATTTTGGTCCTTTATCTTTCAAAGGATTCATTCATGGATTTGAGTTAATATTGTGTTCCCTAACACTAGTCGTTTTCATTTTGGAGCAAGATTTTGAACCTATTTTTAATTGATTCAAATAGTGAAATTCATATTATTATGAAACTATGAAATCCGATAATTATCATAACAAAAAGGGCATAAACAAAGACGACAATGCATGAAATGTGAATTTAACAAGCAATAAAAAAAGAATCTGATATTAGATTTTTAAATTTTCTACTTGCTCATGGAACTCTATTTTTCACACGATTTCATCATGTTCATGATTCTTCCGTATGAACATTAGTTCAGTTTCATAGTTTCTTTCTGTAGCTTTAAGGAGTCATATTTTGAATAAAAAAGAGGTTAAAAATTGTGTCCTAAAATTGGAAAAAAATCAGTTACGAACGAACATAAACTGAATTTTGAGAGTTAAAGGACCAAACTAAACTTTTTGAAAGATAAAAGAGCAAGCATAAATTTAATAAAAAAGAGGGCATAAAATAATATTTTAGACTTTTTCTTATCACAACATTGTTATCCAAAAAACATCTAGTACATCAAGTATAACTAGAAGTGCATAAATTGACTGTGTTGCTACTCCCTTGATAGCTTAGCAACAGTATCAACATACCAGTGACATTACATTTTCAGGTATTTCCTAGTTCTAGCCTCTAGGATTGAAACCACATAGGACATAACCAGAAATTGAGAATACCAGTAATAATATCAAAAATTTGCATCTCTACTTTAATGGGCAGGTACTACAGGCTGATAAAGAAAGATGCCATGCTATTATTCATCACCTTTTTAGAAAGCTAAGCTTTTATCAAGATCAACAACCCTGAGCAATTAACAAGCAAGCAAACATTATCTGATGCAAGATGTAAAATTCCACAAAATCAAGCCCAGACCCAACCTATTCCATTATGAACTACTTACTATAATTTAACAACACTAACATGTTTGATAACCTTAGATAAATACCAGGTTTAAGGTCACGATGAATGATCCCATGAGAGTGTAAGCATTCCATTGCTCGGGCAATATCAAGAGCAAATCCAACTGCCACACGCATATCCAAGCAGTTTGGCCGGATACCCCACAGGTATTTGCGCAATGTTCCCCCTAACAGAAGTTCAGTTACTATAACCATAACTGGTTCTTTGCAAGCCCCAATAAACTGGCATCAAACAACGCATAAGTTATTGTGAGACTTATCTTTCCCCAGTTTAATATATATATATATATATATATATATATATATATATATATATATATATATATATATATATATATAGATAGATAGATAGATATAATTTGAGCACCGGTTAATGTTATAGCTATCTATTGGCAATCTCAATTAGTGCACACAAACACACTTCAGAAAAGATAAAAGCTTTTGTTCTGGGATGACCACCTTTACTAGATTTTTATGTTGAACTCTAGATAGCATTGCAATCTCTCTGCCAAACCGAGCCTCTCTTCTAGAGATCTGTTCTGGGGTTTCACCCTTATTAATGATCTTAACAGCAACATTCTGATTTTTATATCTACAAAATAAGAAAATCCAACAACAGCAAGGCACACGGTCATCAAATAATCTTCTATTCCACTCCAATAATGGATGCAAATATGTATTTTTCTAAACAGACTATGTACAAAAAGTAAGTGTGAAATTGTACATAAATCTAGATGGATTTAATGAAAGATGCAACAGGAAAAACAAGAAACAAGGGCCAAGATAGAGCTGACTTAGAAATAAAAACAATTTCTAATAAATCTAACAAAACACAGAGGGGACATTTTTTTATGACAAAGGATTCAGAAACAAAAATTAATCCAAAAATAGAACCATAACTTGTTTACAAAAGATAAACGTTGACTTACTTTCCCTCATACACTTTGGCATGGGCACCTTCCCCAATTTTTGGCCCAACAAATAGTTGCTTTGGATCTATAAGCCACTTTGCATCCAGACTGAACTCCACTACTGAGTGAACCTCATTGCCAGATCCCATTCTACTTCTCCTGAAGATGTTGAACTAACTAGTTTAGCAAGTAGCAGAATTACTCACAGTGAGCAAAAAGACCATGCCTTCTAAGCACTAAGTAACAGCTCATAGGCTTCCGCTACAACATATCAAAGGTTAGACTTTTGACTTGTGGGTTTGAGAAAACAAAACTTCCCAATGGGTACCTCAAAAAGCACCAATCCCCAAAAACAAGTTCCAAATTTTTTCAGAAGCACTCACGAAGTAACCAATTACTCAGAATAAAAGGCATTCAGAAGCAATGAGTGGTAGAAGAAACAGAATAAAGATAGAAAAGTAAAAAGAAACAACCCCTTTTACACTCTGATTAAGGAACGGAATTAAAGGTTGAAAAACAAGGGAGGCACGAAAACTAATGATCCAGATGGAGATTTGGAGCAAGAAAGAGGTTGAAAACTATAGAGAAGGTGGACGCTAAAGTGGGAAGTGAAGAAAATAAAAAGAAGGATGTTACTTTATTTTAATCTATGACGCGTGAGGAATTCCAGAGAGAGAGAGAGAGAAAGAGAGAGAGAGAGAGAGGTGTTCTGGTGGTAAAGTTTAACCGTGGAAGAAATGGTGTCTGTGTCAGAAAACAGTGTCACAAGTGGTGGGTGATTGTTTTTCTTTAGAATAAATTATGCAGAACAATGAAGTTTAAAGAAATGTAGATGGGTCTGCATATTTATCATAAGTTTAGTTATGTTTTTTATTTTCTAAATTCATGTTGATTTTGATTTTTTAATTTAAAAAGATTATTTTAAATTTTTAAAATTAAAATAAATTTTTAACATTATTTTTAATTCTTTAAATTTAGAATTTATAAATTAAAATTAAAAACTTTTTTTAATTTAAGAGACAAAAACAATTATTTCAAATTTAAATCACTCAAAATATAATTGAAGTTGCATTAAGTATAAAATAATATCAACAATAATATATAATTATGTGTGCTATTTGAATAATTAATTAATATTTATTGATGGATGAAGTGAATTAATGCAGAAATCTCTTGATCATTGATGGGATAATGTGGTCAAAAAGCTCAACATACAATTTTTAGCATATACACGAATTACTAAGTTAGGAAGCTTTTGTCATAATTGTTTTAGGGCAAATTGGGAGGCACTTCCATGTTATTAGGTGTTAATAAACACTTGTTTAATTTCTAATTTCTTGTTTAAAAGGTTTGAATAGTTATAAAATCATACTACATCAATGAAGTGATATTTCATACTCCACAATTATCTGTCACATGTTATAATATTATAAAAATTAAAATCACTACAAATATTAATACAAAAAGTCAAATCAAACAAATGATTGTCCATTTACTAAACCTAGAACAACTATCTTATCTACACATAGATTATCTTTCCTAAAAACATGTGAAGTTACTAAATATGTGATAGTATATTTAGTAAAACATGTATGTTATCTTAAAATACCCATTAATCTATTGACCAATGTAAGATCATGTCATACTTAAAAATATGATCTTTTAAAAACACGGACCGTAACAACATGTTTTAGAAACACATCTGAATGTTGATGCATCACAACTTTAGACAATGAATCGAAAGTACAAGTATGTTGCCTGCATCTTCCAAATAAAAATATTTCACATCTTTCACTTCACTACTTCTTTCGACAAAATCCATCGTTGTCTCCATATCAGTTCAATCAATTTTGCATGAAAGAAATAGTTGCAGCCAATAGAATTCGTGCAAGAGAGCAATGTGGTAATATATGTTCAGAAGTTTCTTACATTTTCTACAATTAATTACTATAAATAGACACTGTTAGAATTAATTTTTAATTAATTCATTCCATTATGTGACTCATGTGAAATATTATAAAGGACCCAAATGTGATTTAATAATTATAAGGACCTATTGGTTATTATGTGAAGTCAGAATAAAATAAAGATAAAATAAAATATTAATCGAATGTAACCAACTCGATGGACGTTGGTTAAAAAAGATTAGGGTTACGTCTCGGCCATAAGGTCTTTTTCACGTAAACCATCAAGAAAGCGAAGCGTGTGAAGAGAAAGAAAGGCAAAGAGATAGATTGGGAAAAGGAGATTGGAGAACGAAAGGATCAAGAAGGATTCTCATGGATCAAGGTTAGTTCTCTTATTAGATTCATGTATTGATGTATGCAAATGTGAAAATCAATAATCTAAAGATCCTATAGAGTAGTTTTCTATAATGAATGAAGAACGTAGGAAAACTGCATAAAGTTTACATGTGGTATCAGAGCACATGTTATTAGATTTATGATTTTCCTTTTATGAAAGTTTTTCCTAAATTATGTTTTTCTCAAATTAGGATAAACCCTAATTATGAATTTAGGAATTTTTATCAGATTAATGTGAACCCTAATTATTCCCAAATTTATTTTTTCCCAAAATTGAATAAATAGATAAGCCCTAATTTATAGATAAGGCTGTATTTAATTTCAAATTGAAATCAATTTGATAATTTATGTGTTTCCATGATTATTTTAGTTGAAAAGAAAAATGTAGGCGCATTTACTGTTTGGCTCACGTAATAGTTTTAATAATGCTCCATTGCAATTAAGTTAATTATGCAATTAAAATGATGGGATCTGGGCAATTGAAGGAGTTCATGTATTTGATTAAGATGTTCTGCGCAAATTGCATATTAAACATGCTAAGGGTACCTTACCTGCAGCGCAAGTTACGTGGGTCGGTTTGCAACAAGCGCACCTAAGCATTACGTGGGCCAGTTCCTTACCTGCACGTAAAATTAGATGCTCATTACGTTGGGAGTGCATATTACATGGGCCAGTTGCATAAAGTGACGCATATTAGGTGCACCAACGTGCGCAACGTGCGCTAGCTTGTATATTAGGTGCGGTAAATGTATTTGATTTTAATTCAGTGACATTTGTTTTATGATGAGTATTGGCTGCTGCAATTAATTTAAATTGCAATATAAATTTAAAACGTAAATGTTAATATGGAGGCTAAAATGGGATACGTGAATGAATTATGGTTTGTTATTGCTAAATAAATAAATAAATAATAATAGAAAATATTATAAATGATTAATAACAATTAAAGTTATTATTTTATTTGAAATTAAGTATGATAAATTTTGTTAGTCACCAAAGTGGCCAAAATTTTAAGGTTATTTTAATTTCAAATTATTAGTGATTTTATTTCAATTACCCATAGTATGAACGCTAAAATTATGAATAATTGATTTATGGGTTAATTGAAGTTCATTATTATAAGACATTTCGGGATCACCCAAAGGTTGATTAATTGTTATTATAATTAATGAACATGAAAGTAGATAATTTTCACGTGCGTCACTAGTTTTATTTATATACCCAAAGGTGTTAGGTGATTCTAGTTGATGCATATTTTAATTATCATTAATGTTATAAAATGATTAGCGTAATTATGTTTGTGTATTGGTGGATCTCCCAAAGGAGAACATTAGTATGCGAGAGAATAGTAATTTATGGTTAAATCTGTATTTATGCTTAATTTTATGACTCAAAGTATTAATGTTAGGCATGTGTTAATTGCGAGTATCTGTTCCTGTAGCTCGCATTCGCTATCTTCGTCCGTTCCGAGTCTTTAATGGGTTAAATTTCCCTGATCTGGAGTGAACAAGTCCAATTTCACTTAGGTGTGTTGGATCTTGATTTGGCTTTCCAAGTTGAAAAACCGGCTACTATCACTGATGTTAGTAGTAATGAAGAGAAAACTCATTATAGAGCTTGGGAAAGATCAAACCGACTTAGCCTTATGTTTATGCGAATGAGTGTAGCAAGCAATATTAAGTCTGCTCTTCCCAAAACTGAGAATGCGAAAGAGTTCATGAAATTTGTGGAAGAGCGCTCTCAAACTGCTGACAAATCCCTCGCTGGGACATTGATGAGTACGTTGACCACCATGAAGTTTGATGGTTCTCGTAGTATGCATGAACACGTAATCGAAATGACAAATATCGCAGCAAGACTGAAGTCTCTAGGAATGGCAGTGGAAGAAAATTTCCTTGTGCAATTCATTTTGAACTCGTTACCGCCTGAGTATGGTCCGTTTCAGATGAACTATAACACCATGAAAGACAAATGGAATGTGCATGAATTGCACAGTATGTTAGTCCAGGAGGAGACCAGACTCAAGAACCTAGGAAGCCACTCTATTCATTACGTGAAAAATCAAGGAGCTAAAAAGAAAGTTGTTAAGAAACATGGAAAGGGTAAAGGACCATTAAAGATTAACGAGTCCTCTACTAACATTCAGAAGAAAAATGACAAATGTCATTTCTGCGGGAAGTCTGGACATTTTCAGAAGGACTGCTTAAAGCGTAAAGCTTGGTTCGAAAAGAAAGGTGAGCATAGTGCTTACGTATGTTTTGAATCAAATTTAACTGAAGTTCCCCATAATACTTGGTGGATTGATTCTGGATGTACAACTCATGTTTCTAATGTGATGCACGGATTCCTTTCAACCCGAACCATAAACCCAAATGAGAAGTTCGTCTTCATGGGGAATAAAGTCAAGGTTCCAGTGGAAGCTGTCGGGACTTATCGTTTAATCCTTGACACTTGGATATCACTTAGACCTTATGGATACTTTTTATGTACCTAGTATCACTAGAAATTTAGTTTCTTTGTCTAAGCTCGATGTTCGTTGGATACTCTTTTAAGTTTGGGAATAGTTGTTTCAGTTTATTTAAGCGTACATGTATGATTGGAACTGGTACACTTTATGATGGTTTATATAAATTGAATTTGGATAATTTATATGCTTGAAACTCTCATGACCTTGCATCATAATGTTGGCACTAAACGTAGTTTGGTGGATGAAAGATCTGCTTATTTGTGGCATAAGCGTTTGGGACATATTTCCAAAGAAAGAATGCAAAGATTAGTAAAGAATGAAATCCTTCCGGATTTAGATTTTACTGATCCGAATGTATGTGTGGATTGTATTAAAGGTA